TATACAAAAAAGTTATATTCATATCATTACCCTAAAAATATGGTAGCTTATCTTGAAATTCGAATAGTATTAAACTATAAAATAAAATTTACCCTTTTCATCTCAAAATAATTGTTATTTTTTTTTACTTACAATTTGTTCTAAATTAACAATCACTTTTTTATTTTTTAAGATAGACAAATATTTTTTAAGATAGACAAATATTTTTTTAACCTTATCCTTATCTATTTACTTTATCCTATTACAAAAGGTCTTTATTTATTTCTTAAGGATAATACAGGTAAATATATAAATTGTCTCCAAATCTTTAATTTTAAAAAATAAAAAAAATAATTATTTTAAGATAGTGGGGGTATTATATAAAATAATAGTTCTTAATATTAGAACACCTATTCTTAAAAGTTTTTATGGAGTATATTCACTTAAATTTTAAAAAAGTTTAATTATTATTGTTTTATTATATAAAATCATTAAATGCACTTTGGCCTTTCGGGCCGAGTGATCTCTGACCAGTTTGAGGTACATTCTTCTCCCTCCTGAAGCGGGTTCGAACCTGTCTCATGACAACATTGTTCAAAAAAAAAAAATCATCAAATTAATTTATATAAAATTGAGGGAGAAGAACAACTTAAAAAGACTAGAGAGAGTATATAATATACTTGTAGTTTGAAGTTGGTGCATATGAAAACCTAAAATTTCAAAATGTGCATATAAACTCTTGAGATTTATATTTAGTGCACATACCTAAAGTTACATAAATTGTTTTAAATATCGTTAACTTCTCTTTTTCATTCTTTTAAATCAACGGCCTTTAAAACATTTCAAATGATTATTTACACTTTAATATAAATCTTAAGTATTTATGTGTATATTTGGAAATTTTTAATTTTTCTCAATATATATCCAAAACTATGATTATATTATATACATATTTTAAAATTTTAAGATTTTATGTATATTTACTCTAAATCAAGTATAATTAAATCCTAATTTCTCTTAATTTAAATTATACAATTTACTTCAAAATATATAACATTTTTTTTACATAAACTATTGAAGATATACTTAATTTTTTTTACAAGAATAATAATTAAAAGTTAAAAATTAAAAATTAAGTTAGTATCTTATTCTTAACAATATTCGATCACTGATTAAGGGTGCAATTCACCAACAATCTTGTTGGGTTGTAATGACTTTTAATAAATCCCAATAAGGGAATATAAGGAAATACTTAATTAAAGCAATACGAGTGAGACATTCCCCGCACTCCGCAGCTGAAAGCTACGGACTGCGACGTGGTGAGATTTAAATTTTTTTTTTTACTTAAAATAAAATAAAATAAAATCCCACCCCCACAAAAATTAGGTGAGGATCCCTAGGATTTCTCTAATGATTAAACGAATGAGTTGGATCTTAGCTTTAAAGGAGAAACTTTTATTCAACTTTGTCTTTGGCTAATTTAGTTAGATTAATGACCATTAGCAGTACCTAACAACGCACAAGTTGGAACCTATGCACCTAACAATCTTCTCAACTCAAAATCCTTCTTGTTAATTCTCCAATCGGTCCCATAAGCTGTAAAGTTGGAAACATTCAATGAGGAGACAAAGTAGGTCCAAACTTTACTTTTATGCAATTTAGAATTTATCATTAGATCATCATCTGCAAGTGGGTCAGGTTTCCTAACTTTCTCTTATGTGGAATATTTTTTATGCTGTCTTTAACAGCCCTTCAAAGTTCCTTTTTTTTTTTTTTACCTCAAACAGCCCTTCAAAGTTCAAACAAATTGTGTTGAAATGTGGAGAATCCCAACAAAACGTGAAGCCAAGAAGCCAGGAATAATTATTGCCACACGGACTTTGGTTAAAAGTCACATAAAATACCGATTGATTTTTAAAAATAAAT